GCAACCCATACTCAGAGCTATGGAAGCACCGCGGGGAAAGCTGTGAAGGATGAAAATGATTTTAGTATCAGCAAATGAAGGGTGGTAGATTATTTTCCAAAGTGGCCAGAATAACCCTACCGTCCTAAATGCCCTTTTGAAATGTGATTTCTTATAATGGACAGAATTGTATCCACCCCAAATTTATTACATTTAAGCCCCAGCCCTTTAATGTGACTTTATTTGGAAATAGGACCTTCAAGGAAGTAAATAAGGTTAATTGATATCTTGAAGTCAAGTGCCTAATCTGATAAAACCACAATCTCTTCTCCATTTCTCCCCTCCTTATAAGAGAGAGACACCAGATCTCTCTCTCTCTCTCTCTCTCTGTCTCTCTCTCTCCCTGCAAAAGGAAAGGCCATGAGAGGACACAGTGAAAAGGTGCCCATCTGCAAGCCAGGAAGAGAAGTCTCACCAGAAACCAACCTTGTTGTTACCTTGGTCTTCGATTTCAAGCTTCCAGAACTGTGAGAAATAAGTATCTGCTGTTTAAGTCACTCCATTTGTGCTATCTTTTGTTATTGCCTGCCCTCACAGACTAATGAACCTCTGCCTCTCACCCAGAGGCAGAATCTACTTCTTCTCCTTGACTCTGTGATGGGCTTGTGACTCACTTTGAATTGTGACAGCAAAGTGACAACGTGCCAGATTCAAAACTAGCCCTTCAGAGAACTTGCAGCTTCTGCATTCGCTATTATGTGGTCTTGATTATTGCTGGAAAAACCCCATAGAGAAGCCTTTGAGTTTGAAATATGACAAAGTAGAGAAGGCTCATAAAGATTTAGAAAACTGGAGGAGAGAGAGGAGGACTGAGAGTCCAGCCATCCCCACTGAGGGTCCAGACATGTACTTGAATTTACTCAAGGCCATCTAGAATCCTGTGGCTGCGTGAGTGAGGTTAGACAACACCAAGTGGCTGAGAGGTGAACCATTCCAGCTGAACCCTGCCTGGCCAACTCATAGAACTGTGAACAAATAAAATGGTTATTTTAAGCCATTAAGATATGGCAGAGCTTGTAAGGTAACACTAGGTAACTGATACACATGAAGTGAGAAAAGAGTATTCAATGAAAAGAGAATGGTTTAAATAATGGTGCAGTGGTAGAAAAGCATAGATATAGGGATATAGGTGAGTAATTCTGGTTGGTAAAGCCTTTAATAACATGCCAGAGAAAATGAGGCAATAATGTTACCAGAGTAAGCTGAGTTAGATTATAGAGAACTGTCACTGCAGCAATTTTTACTGAGCAGCCACTATGTGTCAGACTCAGCTAAGCCATTTTCATGGGTTAACTACTTAATCCCCACAACCCTGTGAGTAGGCTATTGTATTATTATCCCCCACTTTACAGTAAAGTAAATTGAAGTTAAATTACCTGACAAAATAATTACTTAGTGGTGAGACAAATAGAAATACAATCTAACTCCAGAGCCTGTGCCATAATCTCTACAGAAGACTGCCTGGACCAAGGAATGTGGACGTTAGTGATGTACTAATACATGGAACTATTTTAAGCAGAGGTGTGCCATGACTAAAGCACTACTTCAGAAAGACTACACCAGCAATCATGAACAGAGTCTAGAACTGAGAAAATAGTTAAGGTGCTATTGCAGTGGTCCAGGTATAAAGTCATTCGAGTCTGTTTTATTTTGAAAAAAAAAATGAGAAGGGGGTGGATGATAGTAATTTGGAGAAGAAACTATTCTTTGCACCCAAGGAATGGCTGGATATGGGATGAATACATGGGATATGAAGAGTCAGAACTCATTCCCATCTTTCTGGCTCCAGTACCAGATAGCAATCATTCCCATAAAACACTTAGGAAGAGGAAGAGCTGCTTTGGGGATGAAGACAATAAATTTGATTCTGGACTTGCTCCGTGGGAGGTGATAGTGGGATAGTTAGTGGGGGTATTTGCCAGCCATCTGGAGATACGTGAGTGGGGCCTTGAGACAATGGTCAAGGCCACCTGTAAATACAGCTTGAAATTCATCCAAAACTAAGTAAAGTTACATACATCCAGGACAAATCCATGTGACCCTTAGTTATAAGCAAGAGAAATTGAATCTGGCTAAAAAGTAGAAGACTCACAGAAAGAACAAATCCATTGTGAGAAGGAGCAGAGACAAGATGAAAGAACTCGCAAATTCATCCAGAGATTGATGGGTCTGTGATAAGTCTGCTCTGACATCTTTTATTTTAAGAGAGATTTTTGCTATAAGACACATGTGCTCGCTGGAGAGACAGAGAGACAGAAAGTGAGAAATCACTCCTCGGGGGGATGACCATGCCACCATTTCCTTCTCCTCCATTCTCCTCTCAGGATCTTGGGCATGCACACACACTCACCTGGCATGAGTTTCAAGGCACTGCGTCCAGGACTCAAACCATGGTCAGCAATATGACAGTCTAGTACCTTAACCACTATTTCACCTGCTGGGCCCTGCTCCAATTACTTTTTCCATTCTTTTCAAGATTCAAAGTTCCAGGAGAGAATCCAGTTACTTTGGTCATATGCCTATCCCTGGCTGGAGAGGACACCTTGATTTCCATTTCCAACAATATGGTGCATAAAACAGGAACAGTGATTCTTCTATCAAAGGTTCATTCCATTGGAAGAGATGTAAAGAAGAGAAGACAGGATGGAGGGCAGGTCATGTCATAGTGCCCACCTTTGGGAAGAGGAAAACTTGATGAGCAAAAGATAAAGTAAGGAACTGGAAGAGAGAGAATAGACAGAGGAGTTAAAAAAGGAGAGTGGAGGAGGCTAACACCAGAGTTAAATGCTGCCAAGGAATCATGGTAATGATGATTTATCTACCCACCCCCCAAAATCAACTACGATTGGCACTGAAGTTTATTGGTAACATTTGAAAGAGAAGAAGCAGAGGAAGAGAGGGTAAGCAAAAGGAGAATTCAATGATGGATGAAATAAAGAAACTTATAGAAGGAGGGAGGCAGCATCTACCATTTGGTGGTAAAAGAAAGAGAAGCATGAGGCTGTTATTTGAAGGGGTCAGTACCACAATAAGTCTCAGAAGCTGGGTGTTCCAGCCTATTTGGTCGAATATGAGTAGAACATAATACCCAGCCAAGCACTCTGAAACTCTTGGTGAAAAGCAGTGAGGACAATAGAAAAGTGTAATTTGATGCTCAGGTTTAATATGTTTCAGAAGTCACAGAAAGAGGAAATTGGATTTACTCGAAAGCCAACTTTAAAGAGAAATAAAAAGACAAATGTCTTTTATAAGCTTAAAAAAGAAAAAGAAAAAAGGAAAACAGAAAAACCTAAACCAATGCAATAGTTCTAAAAACTAATTGTATAAATGAGCTGTTATAACCGTCTCCTTTCCCCCAGTTGAAACAATTTTACATAACAGCATCTGTATCTGTAATATTGTGTAATACGCAGTCTTGTAGTATAATGTATTTTAAATAGGGGTTAGAATGGAGAAAAGCAACTCTCATTATCTTATTATCATAGCATCCATCAGTCTTCCAGACAAAACACCATCACCCCATTAGGAGCTAAGGCCAGTTTTTAAATACAAGGTCATACTGTTTGGGTGCATGGGGGAGCAGTAGAGGTGGGGTGGGGGGATTTTCATTTATTCCAAGGCACTCAACACTGGATCTCTTCCAAGAGAGGAAATGAGACTAAATAGATCATTTGTTTTATTCTGTTTGGGCATTTCTTGCATTTCTCCCAACTGCAGCTTATGAACACAAAGCCAAACTCAGAGCCTGGCTGGAGCTGGCTAACCTCCAGTCACTTTTTTAAAATTATTTTTTAAGGAATAAACAATTTGAAGCTCTATCTGTGGAGTAAGGCAAGCCACACGACTGAAGGGCAAAATGAAATTCTGTTGTGCATGTGAAGCCCCAAAGAAAGAGGCAGGTAGAATGTTAAATGATTTAGATTTCTCAAACAACACTGAGGTAGAGATAGGAGGGAAATGTTAATTGAAATTAAGCACCTCTGAGAAATACACTTTAGACATGGTCAAATACTGGAGGAGGCACCTCCTGCTTCTAAATGCCAATGGAGGTAGGAACACAAACATTTTTTGGACCTCTGTAAAGATGGTATCCAAGTGTCCAGTCACTTGAATGTCATGGCAAGTGTATCTGGGGTTGCTTCTGTCTCTTTTTGTTGGCATCAGGAAGGCTGGCCAACACCAGCCATGCTTATTCAGCATAGTTGGTATTCCCAGCATATCCCACTGGCAGAATGGGTCTTTGTCTTCTATCACTTTCCTTTGGGAGACACTCATCATTGGTCCTATCCAATGTCCGAGGAGAAAGAAAGGAACATTAGTGGCTGAGCTTAGTTTAGCATATTAGTTAACACCGCATCCAGTCTATTTCAGAATTGACAAGTCACTTACAGTATTGCTCAAAAAGGAAAGAACAGAGAAGTGGATGTCAGTCATTAAATATACACAAAAAAGGTGAGTCCCAAAGACCTCCAAATGTCCTGCCTAGATGAAAAATCTGAACCCTATTTATACTCTGGGAAAATAAGATTTGTTTCCTTAAAAAATCCATTAAAACAGAGATTGAAATGCTTTAAAATAATGTTTTCATATTTCTCTCAAAATCTGGTTAACTTTAGAGTAAATTTACTAAAAATCTTAAATGTAAATAATTGAGAAATGAATCAATGCCTTAATGTTAATATCTTGTGATATCATGCAATAGTTTTGCAAAATGTTACTATTGAGGAGAACTGGGCAATTTGTACAAGTATTATTTCTCACTACTGCATGTGAACCTACAACCATCTCAATGAAAATTTTCAATTAAAAAAAAAGTGATTGAGATAGAGATGGATGCAGGGAATCCAGCAAGCTTTCATAATCTGGTTTTGCCCATTTCCTGGTTCTGCTTTGCTTCCTCAATAGCTTCTTTTTATTTTTCCAGGAAAAACTCTAGATTTTATTGTTCAGTCACAGATCTTTCATCTTAATTCAGACGCAACTACAAAAGTAACAGACAGATAAAAGAACAAAGAGGAGCAAGACACAACAGTAATTAATGTATAAAGCATTTACACTTAAACACAGATGACATCTTTCCACTAGGACGAAAATGGAATGAACTTCTGTGCCAAAGAAAGATAGCTTTATTTTTTCATAAAAAAGAAAGGTGAGGGCCAATAGGTAGTGTGGAAGATATTGTGGCTGAATTCCAGAACTTTACATTAATAGTGGGTCTCTGCATTAGGTTTTTTCCATTGTAGTCAAGTTCATGTACAAGTAACAAAAGCCTTTCCATATATTTTTCCCCAGAAGGCTCATACACTTGCCAATGAAAGAGGAACATGAAGGAAAACACAGCACCTGCACCAGCTGGTGATGTGAAGATGGCTAGAACCCTCATGGCTGTGTGGTTCATGTCCTGGACATGGCTGCCTGAGAAACATAAGTATGTATGCATGCAGGCCCAAAATCTCCAAAGAAAGGAGAAATGGAGAAAGGATTGGGGCATGACCATTCCACAAAAGGAGTGATTTCTGACTTTTTCTCCCTCCAGTGAAAGCACATGCCCTCTGAGAAAGCGATGAAAATCTTTATGAGATCTGGTCTTATCTCAACCACCTCTCCATCTCTTCATCTTCTCTGGATTTTGGTCATATATATCCATAGGATTTTTCTAGCAGCTCCATCTCAGATTCAAATGGCACTAACTATGATCCTGCTTCAATAACCAGTAGCCTACAGTATGCCTTTGTGTTTGTGTGTGTGTGCATGTGTGTGATTTAGGGTTTTGTCATAAGGCATGTGTGCTTGTCAGAGAGAGAGGGAGGGAAAGTGAGAAATCACCCCTTAAAGGATGGCCACACAACACTACCTTCTCCTCCATTCTTCTGTAAGGATTCTGGATACACAACCCGTGTACTGAATGATTATCAAGCAGCTGGATCCAAGATTCAAACCATGGTCAGCCTTGTAAGAGTCCAGTGCCTTAACCACCGATGGCCCTGGTCTCTCTTTTTTTTAAAAGAAATATTTAATTTTATTATTATTTTTTTAATTTGCTATGGGGGGAACCAGCAGTTAGCGTAATGGCTATGTCGCTGGACCCCCACGTAGTCAACCGCGGTTCGCGTCCCGGACCCAGTGGCTTAAAGCCCAGGCCGGGCACGTGTGCGTGCGTGCCCAGGATCCCAAGAGGAGAATGGAGGAGGGATTGCAGCATGACCATCCCCCCTCGGGGGTGATTTCTCACTTTCTGTGTCTCTGTTTCTCTCTGTCGGTCTGGTGAGCCCACTGCCCCATAAGGAAAAAACTCTCAAAAAAAAAAAAAAAAGAAAAGAAAAAACTGCTATAGGGCACATGTGCTCATCAGAGAGAGAGAGAGAGACAGAGAATGTGAGAAAGTAAGCCACCAGGTCCAGGACTCAAACTGTGGTAAGCCATGTGGGAGTCCAATGCCTTAGCCACCAGTCCACCCACTGCCCTCCTCATTTATTTTTTAAGCTTACTGATTTTTTTCACACACTTTAAACCAATTCTCTTTAGTATATATTGTCTTGTATTATACTTTGTGTGATAGTGAAAGCTTTTCCACATTTTTCAAGGTTTCTCACCAGTAGGAGTTTTTTCATGTATTCAAAAGTACACGGACAAGCTGAAGGCTTTCCACACTACTTACATAGATACAGTTTTCCTCCAATATACATTCTCATATACTTGCAAGGACCCTGAAAAATAAAGTCTTGCTCACATTATGCACATTAACATGGATTCTTCCCAGTGTCACTTCTTTCATTTGTTTCAACAAAACTGGGGAATCTAAGTCTTTCCCACATGTTATATTTACATGGTCCATCTCCAGTGTGTGTTTTCATGTGTCTGAAACTTGACAGATAAGAGAACACTTTCCCACACTCCATACATCTCAGGGTTTCTCTCCACTGAGTTCTTTTATGCCTTCAATACCAAGAAGGCTATCCCACATTGCTTACATTCAGAGAGATTCTTTCCTGTACAAGTTCTTCCATTTATTTGAAAGAACATGAAAATAGAGGACTTTTTCCACATTGCTTACATTACTAAAGTTTCTCTCCTGTGAGATATTTTTCATGTGTTTGGAAATTACTTCACTGAGACAACTTCACATTTTTGACAGGTAGGCTCCCCTCTACTGTGAGCTTTTTCATGTCTTGACCATGACCAGGGGTGACAGAAGGCTTTCCCCACACTGCTTACATTCTTAGGGTTTCTCTCCAGTATGAATTCTCTCAAGATTTTGTAAAAAAGTTAAATGAAAAGAGGATTCACCACATTGCTTACACTGGTAGCATTTGTCTCCTGTGTCTTCTTTCATGATTTTGTCAGGAAGAAGACATTGCTTACACTGATCGGGTTTATCTCCAGTGTGAACTCTTTTATGATTTCATAAGGTGTTAGAACAAGGAAAGGATTTCCCACAGTGCTTACATTCATAGGGGTTTCTTCAGTGTGAATTCTTTCTATGTGTTCAAAGTGAACAGAAACTAATACAGTCCTTCTTTCCCACATTTTTTACATTGATAGAGTTTCTCTTCTGTGTGAATTCCTTGATGGTTTCAAACATACTTGGGACAACTAAAGGCTTTCCCACATTCCTTACATTCATAGTTTTTCTTTCCAGTGTGAGTTCTTTCATGAATACAAAAGGAATGGCGACAACTAAAGGCTTTTCCACATTTCTTACATTCATATGGTTTCACCCTAGTGTGAATTGTTTTCTAATATACCTGGGGCAACTAAAGGTGTTCCCACATTCCTTACATTCATAGGGTTTCTCTCCAGTATGAGTTCTTTCATACCCTTGAACAGAACAGGAATGAGAGGTTTTCTCACACTAGGGACACTCAGATATTTCTGTCCAGTGTGAGTCATTTCATGGTTTCAAACAGAACTGAGATAACGAAAGGCTTTCCCACATATCTTACACTGATAACGTTTGTCTCCAGTGTAAGCTCTTCCATGTTTTCAACAGAACTGAGACAACCAAAAACCTTTCCATGTATCTTACACTCACATGGTTTCTCTAAAGTGTGCATGTTTTCACTTTTTTGAACAGAACTGAGAGAACTAAAAGCTTTCTCATATTTGCTCACATTCATAGGGTTTCTCTCCAATATGAGTCCTTTCATGATCTCTAACAGAACGGGAATGAGAAAAGATTTTTCCACACTGGGGGCACTCATAGGAATTCTTCCCAGTATGAGTTTCTCCATGTTTTTGTAAAGAACTAGAAAAACTAAAGGCTTTCCCACATTGCTTACATTCATAGGGTTTCTCTCTAGTATGAGTCCTTTCATGGTCCTGATCATCACATCTCTGTACAGTCTCTTCTGGGAAGGAACAAGAGAAGGTTTTCCCACACTGAGGACACTCATAGGTCATCTGTCCAATGTGAGACCTTTCATGATTTTGAATAGAACTGGGATAACTAAAGGGTTTTCCACATCCCTTACAGTTATAGGGTTTCTCTTCAGTGTTTTCATGTGTATTTGAACATGAAAGAAACATATAAATGCTTTCTCACATTGCTCACATCCATACAGTTTCTCTCTACTGTGAGTCTTTTCATGTGTTTGAAGGTCTATGGAATAAATGAAGACTTTCCCACATTGTTTACAGTGGTAGAGTTTCAATTTAGCATCAGTGCTCTCGTACTTAACACCATAACAGAAGAAATCAAAGGTTTCCCCATGTACCTTACATTCATCACTTTCTTATCCAGGGTGCAACAGCATGTGTGTTTGAAGGTTCGTAAAACTAGTGAATGCATTTCCATGTTTCTTACATGCATAAGATTTCTCTCCAGTTGGACTTTTTCATGAAATTGAAGTAAACTGACATAATCAAAGGGTTTCCCACATTTCAAACATTCATAAGGCCTACCTCCACTTAGTGTTGTCAGGGTCATCCCACACTTACTAGAGAAACAAAACTTTTTCCATACTGCTTATGATTAAATGGCTTCTCTGCATATTCCTGACATTCATGTGCTTTCTCTCCTTGGTGAGTTCTGATGTACCAATCAAGAGATGAATGAACAGCGATGCATTCTCCACACACACTGCTTTCACATGGTTTTTCTCCAGGAAGAGGTTTCTCATTCAGGTTACTGACTGGAATCAGACTGATGTTTTCTCCACATTGACTATCTTCTTCCTTTCATAAAGGCTCTCCACCATATGACTTCTTGTTTTTTTCCCTGGCATTTTGATGCTGATCTTCAATGTCCTGGTCTTCCTCTTTTTCCTGTAGACTCCAGATTCCTGATGGTTTCCAACATCACATCTCTGTACAGTTCCTTCCAGGAAGGATCCAGGAAGGCCCACTCCTCCAATGCGAATGTCACAACCACATCTTCAAAGGTCACTGATCCCTCAGGTTGTCCATTGAGAAGAGATGACCCAGGGGCCAAGATTCACCAAATACTCTAAGGGACAAGGCCTCTTTGGAATCATAGGTAATCCCAGGATTTCATTTCCGGTCCCCTGGGGTGTCCCCATGTCCTCCCTATGGCACCTGTGGTTTGTAACATCACAGAACGTCCACCACCATACTCCCCAACAGCTTCCTGAATGACTCCCTTCAATCTGGAAGAGGCCAATTCCAGCTTTCAAGTGAACTCATTCTGACCCCTGAGTTATCTTCCTCACTTCCTCCATTCCACCTCATTCAAATTTTCTCCAGCTCCAGTTCACTCCCCCTGATTGGAGGGAGCCACAACACTGTCATTGGAGCAAGGCCGGCCATGTCTAACCAGCATCTGGCATTTGTGCATCTGCCAGCTGGTCAATGTTTTATCGAGCAACTTTGACAGGGTAGCCTGGCTCTAAGAACTAGGGCTGGGGTGAGTTGGGGACCATGTTGAATTGGGCTCTCTTCTGGGCTCACTGGGAACATGTGCTAAAAAGGGAAAGCAGGAAAAAAAACTACCAAGAAACAAGTGGGGAAAAAAAAAATCATGATGAGAGCAATGATGAGAATAAGTTAGACAAGAAAGGAAGTGACTTTGGTTCCTGGGCTCAAGCCTACTTAGAGGAGAGGACATCTGAATTGTGACCACGTGTAGGAAATAGTCATGAGAAGATCCGGGTGGGAAAGACGGTGGGAAGCATTTCAGGCTGAGAGAACAAAGAAAGGGGGTGTATATGCCGCCCTATGCTTGATACCAATATTAGGCACCACTGGAAAGTAATTGAACTAGTTTCCTCCTGGGCTGTATTTCCTTCTTAGTTTAGGGCCAGACCTCCCGTAGCTTGTTTCCCTATTGGACAGACTAGGACCACCCTTAGGCTGGCCCAGATTTTACTTTTAAAGCAACGCCAACACACAAGCGCTTTCTGTCTAGTTGGGCCACTTCAATGCCAATAGATAATTGCACAGCGAGATCTTGCAAGTCCAAGTGCGAGTTGCTCGGATCAGGAGAGGCAATCTTAATCCGGCCTGCTAGTCCCTTCATCTCAATTTGGGACACAGGCCTGCTAGTGAGGGTTCTGCACTAAAGACAACATCAATTACGTCTGTAAAGAGGGGTCTCCACACACCAAACTTGATGCAGAGGAGAGCTGAATACAGGAGGGAGATCGGGGTAACAGAGTCCGGAGCAGGACAATAATTTGTGCGGCCTCTGGCGTCCGCGCCTCTGTCGCGCACAGGGTCGGGTCAGCTGTAGTTGCGGGTTGAGAAGCGCTGGATTACCCACACTCTCCAGGTACCTCATACTGTCACGCAGCCAGGAATCCAGTTTCCTGGATTCTCCTGTCTGTCACCTGTTTAAGGCGACCTGCCGCAGCTCCTCTGTCCCCGAGGCAGATAAGACTCGGCTCTAGGGCACCAAGCGAAGCGTCTAGAGGCGCGATCTGCACCTTCTGGCTGTGTCCTGACGCTGCTATCCCCGTCGCCTGGACGGGTGGGCATGGCCCCGGGCGCCCTAATGTCTCTCCCAAGGGACACCCGAGACGGCGAGTCCTGCGATCCAGGAACGCGCCACGAGCCCTATGTCCTCCCGTTTCCCTGCCACCCACACACACCCATCCGGGCGACCCACGTGCAGCTCGGCCCCGGGTGGTGCCGCACCTCGGGGTCGGCGCTTCTCCCTGGCGCGTTCTGAGCGCAGCCTCAGGACAAGGACCCCTTGGGGACGGCATCCGGGAGGCCGCGGGCAGAGTGGGAGCGACCCGGAGCCGGGGCGCAGGCACTCTGCAGCCCGCTGGCACACAAAGGAGGCGGCGGGAAGGC